GTCAAGGGTCTGGAGAACAAGCCCTATGAGGAGCGGCTTAAGGAGCTGCTGGGCATGTTTAGCCTGAAGAAGAGAAGGCTGAGAGGAGACATGATGAGGGCCACATATAAATATGTGAGGGGAAATCATAAGGAGCTTCCTTTCTGCTTCCTTGGAGACTAGGACGCAAGGGAACAATGGCTTCAAACTACAAGAGAGAAGATTCCATCTGAACATGAGGAAGAACTTCCTGACTGTGAGAGCCGTTCAGCAGTGGAACTCTCTGCCCCGGAGTGTGGTGGAGGCTCCTTCTTTGGAGGCTTTCAAACAGAGGCTGTTTGGCCATCTGTCAGGGGTGCTTTGAATGCAATATTCCTGCTTCTTGGCAGAATGGGGTTGGACTGGATGATGGCCCAGGAGGTCTCTTCCAACTCTTTGATTATATGATTCTATGATTCTATGATTCTATGACTAGGAAGGGTGACAAGCACCCGTCTAGGGTCTTTCGGAGGAAGGTTCCTCGTCAGAGCAAACCCTGCCTCAATCCCCAAAGGCACCGACCGGAATGCTGGTCTGTGGTTCCGTGCAGGGTCTCATCCTTGCAAGCAGCTCCAGAAACAAATACTAAAAGCCAGTGGGATTTTGGCCTCAGGCATCAAGAGGAGCCTCGTGCCTAGATGTCCAGGGAAGTCCTGCTCCCCAGGCTCTATTCCGCCTTGGTTAGACCACACCTGGAATCAGTGTCCCATTCTGGGCACCACAATTGAAGAGAGAGGTTGACTCTGAGCTGGAAGGTGTCCAGAGAAAGAGGGTCTGGAGAACAAGCCCTATGAGGAGTGGCTTAAAGAGCCTGAAGAAGACAACGCTGAGACATGATGAGGGCCATGTCTAAATACGTAAGAGGAAGTCCTAGGGAGGATGGAGCTGGCTTCCTTTCTGCTGCCCTGGAGAGTAGGACGCAATGGAGCCATGGCTTCAAACTGCAGGAAAGAAAGAAGATTCCACCTGAACATGAGGAAGAACTTCCTGACCGTGAGAGCTGTTCAGCAGTGGAACTCTCTGCCCCGGAGGGAGTGTGGTGGAGGCTCCTTCTTTGGAGGCTTTGAAGCAGAGGCTGGATGGCCATCTGTCAGGGGTGCTTTGAATGCAATATTCCTGCTTCTTGGCAGAATGGGGTTGGACTGGAGGATGGCCCAGGAGGTCTCTTCCAACTCTAGGATTCTATGATTCTATGTTCAGCAGTGGAACTCTCTGCCCCTTGAGGAGTGTGGTGGAGGCTCCTTCCTTCTTTGGAAGCTTTGAAACAGAGGCTGGATGGCCATCTGTCAGGGGTGATTTGAATGCAATATTCCTGCTTCTTGGCAGAATGGGGTTGGACTGGAGGATGGCCCAGGAGGTCTCTTCCAACTCTAGGATTCTATGATTCTATGTTCAGCAGTGGAACTCTCTGCCCCTTGAGGAGTGTGGTGGAGGCTCCTTCCTTCTTTGGAAGCTTTTCAACAGAGGCTGGATGGCCATCTGTCAGGGGTGATTTGAATGCAATATTCCTGCTTCTTGGCAGAATGGGGTTGGACTGGGATGGCCCAGGAGGTCTCTTCCAACTCTTTGATTCTATGATTCTACGTTCAGCAGTGGAACTCTCTGCCCCGGAGTGTGGTGGAGGCTCCTTCTTTGGAAGCTTTGAAACAGAGGCTGGATGGCCATCTGTCCAGGGGTGATTTGAATGCAATATTCCTGCTTCTTGGCAGAATGGGGTTGGACTGGAGGATGGCCCAGGAGGTCTCTTCCAACTCTAGGATTCTAGGATTCTATGTTCAGCAGTGGAACTCTCTGCCCCTTGAGGAGTGTGGTGGAGGCTCCTTCCTTCTTTGGAAGCTTTGAAACAGAGGCTGGATGGCCATCTGTCAGGGGTGATTTGAATGCAATATTCCTGCTTCTTGGCAGAATGGGGTTGGACTGGAGGATGGCCCAGGAGGTCTCTTCCAACTCTAGGATTCTATGATTCTATGTTCAGCAGTGGAACTCTCTGCCCCTTGAGGAGTGTGGTGGAGGCTCCTTCCTTCTTTGGAAGCTTTGAAACAGAGGCTGGATGGCCATCTGCCAGGGGTGATTTGAATGCAATATTCCTGCTTCTTGGCAGAATGGGGTTGGACTGGAGGATGGCCCAGGAGGTCTCTTCCAACTCTAGGATTCTATGATTCTACGATCCTACCTATTCCCATTGGCTCCAAGACCTGTTTTCGGATTGGCCTTGGTTATTCTTAGTCTCTGGCAGAAGGCAACCCCTCCATTTCGATGCCGTTGCCTTTCTCTGCAGGTTTTGAGCCAAGTTCTGGACTGAGGTCAATCTCCAGGTCCCTGTGAGGCACCGCGTGAGGCACCGCGTGGGGTTTGGGCCTGGGAAGGGGCTCACGGCACAGGGGCGCAAAAGAGGTCCTGGTTCTGGGCCACGCCAGGCCAGGTGGGTCCCACCCAATGCAGTGTAGCCGCTTGTGTCATCCCTGTCTGCATTGGGAGATGAGTCAGAAGCCAAGCCACTTTTGAGACCCCGGTTCAGAAATGCCTTCTGCTCCAGACTTGAAACAAGTGGGAAGGGAGAAGCAACTGGAGGAACGCAATCCATGATGCCGCAAAGCTGACAAGGAGAGAGGGAGAGAGAGAGAGAGAGAGAGAGAAGCCCCTCCACCCATCTCCAGCAGCTGCCAGGGGTCATTTCCCCCAAAATCTTCAAGAACAGGCCAACGTCTCCTCAAGTTCCATCATTGGATCCCCACTCCAAAGGCGTCTGATCCCGTCTGATCCTGGATGAAAAGCAGGTTGTGCCTGGGTGGGTCTCCTGGGGGTGACCTTTCAGAGGAAGGAAATCACCTCCTTGGATGAAATGCATGGGGCTGGCACCAACACACACGTAGCCTTGACACCCCCAAAACACTGAGTCCTGTCTGGTTTGGGGAGTTACGCAGTGTCAGCCCTGGTTTGTAATTGGGTGGGAGACCGCCAGGGAATCCCAGGTTCTGTAGACTGCAAGTTAAAGGAAGGGACTGGCCAAGCCACCTCTGGGTCTCCCTCGTCAAGGAAACCCCATTGAAATGCTTGGGGTGCCTATCAGTCAGGAGGGGACTTGAAGGCCCAGACCCACACGATGCCGGACCTTGGTCTCTTTCCTCCAATTTGGAAGGCCAGCTCCTGGAGGACGCTGGGAGTCCTCGTGGGGAGGAAGAAGGGGAACATGAGCTAGGAATGTGATGTGGCGGCAAAAAAAGCCAATGGGATTTTGGCCTGCATCAATAGGAGCCTAGTGTCTAGATCCAGGGAAGTCATGCTCCCCATGCTCTATTCCGCTTTGGTTAGACCACTTTACCTGGAATATTGTGTCCAATTCTGGGCACCACAATTCAAGAGAGATATTGACAAGCTGGAATGTGTCCAGAGGAGGGCGACTCAAATGATCAAGGGTCTGGAGAACAAGCCCTATGAGGAGCGGCTTAAGGAGCTGCTGGGCATGTTTAACCTGAAGAAGAGAAGGCTGAGAGGAGACATGATAGCCATGTATAAATATGTGAGGGGAAGTCATAAGGGGAGCAAGCTTCCTTTCTGCTTCCCTGGAGACTAGGACGCAAGGGAACAATGGCTTCAAACTACAAGAGAGGAGATTCCATCTGAACATGAGGAAGAACTTCCTGACTGTGAGAGCCGTTCAGCAGTGGAACTCTCTGCCCCGGAGGGAGTGTGGTGGAGCCTCCTTCTTTGGAAGCTTTGAAACAGAGGCTGGATGGCCATCTGTCAGGGGTGCTTTGAATGCAATATTCCTGCTTCTTGGCAGAATGGGGTTGGACTGGATGATGGCCCAGGAGGTCTCTTCCAACTCTTTGATTCTAGGATTCTATGACACAGTCTTGAGCCTTGTGTGGCAAGAATGCTGATGCCTCACCAAAGTCCACATGCCCGGGTGAGATGGCCTTGAGCCCCGGGCATTACAGTAGAGACGAGGCCTCTCAAAGAGGGGCTCTGGGGGGTCCTGAAGCCATTCTAATATGCCATCCCTACTAAATTTAGCAATGTAATTGAGACAGAAAACAGCGAGCATTAGATCTGAGTAAATAAAGGATTTCCCGGACAGGAAGAGGCACCGTGCCCTCTGAGGGTTCCTTGCCCAAGAAAAGCCCCCCTCTAGATCCCTCTACGTCCGCAGGTGACTTGGAGGCCCAGAACAAGAATGCCTCCGGCCTTCCTGACCCATTGCTGAGCCCCTCTCAGTTCCATCCCATGGGCCCCCTTGCCTCCCCAAATCTGGCCCTTCCGAAATGGGGCAATGTGTGCCTTGTGGGTGCAAGTGGGGCGCCCATCCCAAGACCACCTTCCACCTTTCCATGCAGGCTGAAAGGGGGTTCCTTCCATGGGGCCAGTGTATGTTGGGATGTTGTGGGGAGGGAGGCCTGGCGTCTTCTCTCCCCACATTCTGGGCATGGAGGAAACCGGATCCCGGTGTCAACAAACGAGGCCGGAATATTCGGGATGCAAGGAGGCAGCTGGGGAGGGGGCTCGGCATGGCATGCGAGGGGGGTGGGTGCTCGGCATGCCTTGCCCCCGGCGGCCCTCCCCACGGCAGAGACCTCAGTGCAGGGGCCAAGGGAGCAGACCCCCCCTCCTCCCCCCAAGGAGGGAGACCACCCAAAGGCAGCCCCTGCGGCCTCCTTCTCCATATGGGGAGGGTCTATTTTTACCCCTCCGAGGATGGGGCTGCCGTCAGTCCCTTGCCATTCACTCAAGTCAGGCCAAGGGTAGGATTTCGCTCTCCCTGAGGGTCCCACACACACACTCACATGCACATATCTGCACAAGACTCAGCCAGGAGTGGCTTGGCTAAATTTGGTAAAATGCCTGGCCGGCCAATCAGCAGCCGAGGAGGAAGGCCATTGGCTGACCAAAGAGCCGCCTCCCTTGGTGCCCAATGAGGGCAGTGTGGGCGGAGCCGTGCCCAGTTGTCCAGGTATAAAAGGCCGTGCCAGAGCCTCGGACGGAGCGGTTTGCCATCTGACCCGGAGAAGCAGGTGTGGGACCCGTCGTTGTCGCCGGTGGCCCTTCTCTCTCTCTCTCTCTCTCTCTCAGTGGGGTGCCCTTAGCCTGCCAACATGGTAAGACCACGGGTTAGGGTTAGGGTTGGGGTCTGCATGGTCAAGGAAGTGGAATAAGGCCCAGGGTGGTTGGGGCTGGACAAGACGGGGAGGCTCAAGTGTCCAGAGGGACAGGGCAAAGGTTACTGTGAAGCTGAAGGACTCTCTGGTTGAAGCTGTTGGTGGTGGTGGTGGGGTCATTGCAAGGAGTGGAGTGGGGCATTTGGGTCTGGGGGAGGCCGATGGGGCCAAGGGGGGTCTCAGAGTCATCTAAAGGAGTGGAACCACTTGGCTGGGTCAGATCCTCTCCTTCAGGGTGGACAGCTCCGAACTCTACAGCCGTGTGGGCTGGACGGGTCTGGCTTGGGAGTCCAGCCAAGGACGCAGCAGCAGGGAAAACGAGCCGCCGGTCACAAGGAGGCTTCTTGCTTGCCCACCCACCCGCCTACCCACCAGAGACGAGGCCCCAAGGAGTAACCCGATCCGAGGCCGACAGGTGTTGCGTGGAGCAGCTGGCGTCCAGCCCTTGCTCCCTACAAGGCCCGAGCCCGGGGGCCACGGCTAAGAATAGCCCGGGATCAAGGAGGAGCGCCCTCCCCCTGTCTCCACAGGCCCACTGAGCCTTGCCCGGTGGAATCTGAAGATCCAAGTGGACAATGGCATCTGGCCGGAGAGGAGGAGGAGGAAGAAGAAGAGCAAGGCTAGGATGGAGCCAAGCAGCCATGAAGCCTCCAGAAAGGACACCCAATGGAAGCCAAATTATCCTGGACTTGCCCAAGGGACCAGGCAGGCCCCACTTTTACAAGGGCTGCCCTGGAATGGGCTGCTTTGGGACATTTTTGAGCCAATGATGTCCACCTTGGCCACATGACTGGCCGGTCACCCTGGTCCACAAGGGCCTGGAGCATCTGCAGGGAGATGCCAGGAGGCAGCAGCCTAGTTCTGTGCGGGGAATTCAAGTCCATCTTTCTGGCCAAAGCCAGTGAAGCCCTTTAGGAGTCAAGGCGTCTTTGGTGGTCTATAGAGAGGGGCCCAATGGGGACGGGAGGGGGTCTGGCCATCTGCCGGGAGGAATCCGGTGTTGCCCTTTCCTGGAGTTTGTGCTTGCCTTGCAGACGGACCAGCAGGCGGAGGCCCGGTCCTACCTCAGCGAGGAGATGATTGCTGGTGAGTCAAAAGGGTGGGGAGGGGGGTGTCTCTGGGGTGGGGGCAAGGAAGCCTGGCTTGGCTCTGGGTCAGGGGAGAGAGCCCCCTCAATGGAGGGCCAGCAGTGGCCTGGGTGGTCAAGTGCTTGACCATTGGCTGGAGCGGCTCCTTCACAGGACTCACTCCGCAGCCTGCCTGCCTTTCTCCCTTGTGGAGCCACAGGGAAAGCAGCTGGACATCCATCCATGAAGCTGACCAATGACAAACAGTCCCAGGGGTGGACAGAGGGTGACACGACCACAGGCATCCCCAGTGCAGAGGGAAAGGTGCCGCAATCCCTCACAAAGAGGCAGCGGAAATCCAACTGGTGTGAGGGCAAAGGCCCAGAGAGAAGGAGGGAGGGTCAAGCACTTGACCATTGGAGTCAGAGAATCAAGCACTTGACCACTGCTAGGGCCCCTTCTGCCCAGCCCTGACTTTCTTGCCCCCAATCCCTGGGGAGGCTTTGGAAGGGAAGGAGCAGGTGGAAGGGGCACCCAAAGGCCACTTAGCTCAGGTGCTTTGAGCAGTGGATTCCCTTCCTGGCAGAAGGGGGTCAGACTAGGTGGCCCCTGGGAGCCCCTTCCAGCAAGACAATTCAGCATTGCATCCAAAGACAAACAGCCCCAGGAATGGAAAGAGAGGGGAAAGAGGGTGACCAGACATCAGGCACTGAGAGCATCCCCAGTGCAGAGGGAAAGGTGGCGGAACAAGGGGGTCGGAGGGTCAACTGCTTGACCCTTGCTAGGGCCCCTTCTGCCTAGCCCTGACTTTCTTGCCCCCAAAGGGCTCTTGGAAGACCCTGGTCTGCCCTATATTGCAATCCCTGGGGAAATCCAACTGGTGTGAGAGCAAAGGCCCCGAGGGAAGGAGGAAGGGAGCAAGGGGGTCGGAGGGTCAAGCGCTTGACCATTGCTAGGGCCCCTTCTGCTCAGCCCTGACTTTCTTGCCCCAATCCCTGGGAAGGGCTTGGGAGGGAAGGGGCAGGTGGAAGGGGCACCCAAAGGCCACTTAGCCCAGGTGCTTTGAGCAGGACATTCCTTTCCTGGCAGAAGGGGGGGGGGGATGTCAAAGATAGAAACAGGCATGGGCCATCTTCGGGCCTCTCTCCATGGGTGTTAAGCGGCTGAGATTAAAAGGAAGGGGCTTGAGGCTGTGGGGAATGATGGGAATTGGAGTCCAACACCCATGGAGGGAGGGAGGGCCCAAATTGGAGGAGACACTCAACTTCTCTTGGAAGTTGCCCAAAGGCCAAGCAGGAAGACACTATCAGATCCCTCCCGAGAGATGGGCATCCATCCATCCTCTGCTTAAAAACCTATAGCAAAGGGGAGAGAATCCTGGGATCCTAGAGAAGGAAGGGACCCCAAAGGCCATGCAGTCCAACCCCTTCAACCAGGCAGGAAGACGATTCGATCCGTCCCAACAGATTATGACCCAGTAATAACACTTTATTTACATTCTGTGATGAAATGAAAATGATGTGTAGCTCATTTTTTCCCGCCTTGCCAGAAAAAGATAATATTCCATGCAGATGAACAGTAAATAACAAGTGGTTTACTCTTCGTAACTCAGAACAACATATGTACAATCCTGTGGTCAGTCACATTAACTCACATAATGTCCTGTTATGAGAGATTTAGAGCGGTCTTTCTTTTGTCCACGTAGAGAAACTCCTTCAGCAGCTCGTGAGGCAAAAGCACACTCCAAACTCTGTCTCCCTCTGCTTCTCTGCAAGCACCGGCATAGCTCAAGGCTGAAAAATGTAACAGTATCCAAAAGTCCCAGGCTCAGCTATTTCTCCGGGCATAGCCCAACCAATCAGCTTCATGCATCTTATTTTGCAATGGACACACACACACTAATTGATTTCTTACATGCCCCATCATATTCCGTCCTCCCTTCTCTCAGAGCAGATTACAGCATACAAACAGACACAGGCAAACATCCAATACCTTGTTACAATGACATACAACGAGACACAAATATACAGACAAAGGCAAAGGCTTCCCCTTTCATTTCCGGCTTCTGGAGGCGGTGCTCACCTCTGGCTCTGGGGAGGTGCTCATCTCCATTTCCAAGCTGAAGAGCCTGCGTTGTCCATAGACAACTCCTGGTCGTGTGGCCAGCATAACTGCTTGGAGTGTCCTTTTCCCTTTTCCTACTGATGCAGCACCTATTGAACTACTCACATTTGCATGTTTTTGAATGGCTCGGTTAGCAGGAGCGAGGGCTAACAGCAAGAGCTCACCCCACCCTGCAGATTTGAACTGCCAACCTTCAGGTCAGCAGTTATTGATTATTTATAATTTATTTCTGGCATTTGTACCCGGTCTCTTCTCCACCCCCCAGGACGGCTTACATTACTAACGGTGCAAGACCGCTACATCACAATTACGATAATATAACACAATCAAATACAAAACAGTCATTAAAACTAATACATCTAGCATTACTTAAAACAATAAAACAAAGTCACAATGTCATCTGCCGCACGCCATTCCAATCAGTGTCCATTATGGCGCAAGTTACGTCTGCTGCCCATTGGCCCGGTCCCAAAACCACAATTTAATTTTTTTTCCTGAAGGCCAGGAGGGATGGAGTCAATCTTAACTCGTTTGGGAGTGCATTCCATAGGCGGGGGGCCACAGCCGAGAAGGCCCTGTCTCTTGTCCCCACCAGGCGCATTTGCGCTGTTGACAGGAGCGAGAGCAGAGCCTCCCTGGATGATCTTGGGTTACAAGGTGGGACGTAGAGGCAGATGCGTTCAGACAAGTAAGCTGGGCCAGAACCATATAGAGCTTTATAGGTCAAAACCAGCACTTTGCATTGAGCTCGGAAGTGGACCGGCAGCCAGTGGAGCTGACGTAGCAGGGGGGTAGTATGCTCCCTGTATGTCGCTCCTGTTAGTAATCTGGTTGCCTCCCATTGGACTAGTTGGAGTTTCTGAGCCATCTTCAAAGGCAGCCCCATGTAGAGCGCGTTGCAGTCATCTATTCAGGTTGCAACTAGAGCATGGACCACTGTGGCCAAATCAGACTTCCCAAGGTACGGGTGCAGGTTTAACCCATTGCGCCAGCCAGGCTCTGCTTAAAGGCTTCCAGAGAAGGAAGGAGACTGCACCGGATGCCCAGGCAGCAGGAGATTCCTCTTGACCCCGAGGAAGTCCTTCCTAATGTCCAGACTGCCATTCTGCTCTGAGGGCCCCCCCCCCTTGGGGCTCCCCCCCCCCCCCTCTCCCCACCACAGAGTTCAAGGCCGCCTTCGACATGTTTGACGCTGACGGTGGCGGAGACATCAGCACCAAGGAGCTGGGCACGGTCATGAGGATGCTGGGCCAGACGCCCACCAAGGAGGAGCTGGACGCCATCATCGAGGAGGTGGACGAGGACGGTGAGCCCGGGCCCACGGCCTTTGGAGGGAGGGTCGCAGGGGTCACGGGGGCAGGCTGACCGACCCCTGGGTGCCCCTTGCCCGCAGGCAGCGGAACCATCGACTTTGAGGAGTTCTTGGTCATGATGGTGCACCAGATGAAAGAGGACGCCAAGGGCAAGAGCGAGGAGGAGCTGGCCGAGTGCTTCCGCATCTTTGACAGGTGAGGAGGTCAACTGAGGACAGGTGGGGGGCCAGAGGCCGCTCCCTCCACTGCCAGTGGGCCCTTGACCCACCTGAGACCCCTGCACTGAAATACAACCCTGCGTAACACCATGTTTGTTCCTGGGCCACAAAGGACATTTCCAAATTGGTTCTCTCATAAAGCCATGTTTATGAAAGGGCCCAGGCTTTGTCTTTGAGGGAGGGGGGATGGAGGGGGGGGGAGCCCATCCTGCAGCAGCAGCAGCCCCACATTTGGGCCTCGTTTCCCAAGGAATCTCTCTTCATTGAGTCTCAACCCATTCAAGTTTCTGTAGGAAAGCAAGGACTTTCCAATGAAGACCACACAAAGACACAGGAAATCACTCTTTCAGGACATTTCTCACGTTTTGTTTACATTTAGGGGGTCACTTTCCATGGGATTGCCAACCTTCCAGTGGCCCCAATGGAAACCACCCCGAAATGGGCCTCTTTCGCCTTTTCTCCCCACAAGTTCACAAGTGGTCACTGGGATCGAGGGGATGTTGCGCCCGATGTGCCAGATGCATTGGGTGGTGAGATGGGTTGACGCACTCCACGGAGGGTGGCACTAGTGTGCCTGTGGTTGCCCACTGGAGGGGGCTCAGGGTGGGCGGGGGGGGGGGGTCACCCCTTGGGGCCACCACCCTTCGCCTTCCAGCACTTTCCAGAAGCCGCGGTCTGAGCGGTGGCGGATTGCATGGCTGGCGCATGGCTGGCCCTCCTTCCCTCCGGGGCTCTTCTCCGATGGCAAGGCGGCTGCTCACCGTGCTGGGGGTCCCCTTCCTTCCACCCCCCCCCCCAGGGACCGCCTCGGCTTTCCCTCCCAAGGACACGCAGCCTCCTTCTGTCCTCGAGGGCAAGGGCAAAGGCCAGCTCTGCACTCCTCAGAGTGCTTTGGCCAGGCCGCCTTTGGGGCCCAATCCTTGGCCCCTCTCCAGGAAGAAAGGCCCCTGCAAACCAAGGCAAAGGTCTGTCAGGATACCTGGGTGCAGTGTGACCCATTGGGTTGGAAAGCATCCAATTGAATGGATCTACTAATTCAGTGGGCCTCAACCTTCCTAATGCTGCGACCCCTTAATGCAGTTCCTCATGTTGTGATGACCCCCAACCATCACATTATTTTTGTTGGTGCTTCATAACTGTCATTTTGCTAATGTTATTAATCATAATGTCAATCTCTGATAAGTAGGATGTATTTTCATTCACTGGACCAAATTTGGCACACATACCCCATACACCCAAATTTGAATACTGGTGGGGTTGGGGGGGGGGATTGATTTTGTCATTTGGGAGTTGTAGTTGCTGGGATTTATGGTTCATTTAAATTAAAAGAGCATTCTGAACTCCACCAATGATGCAATTGAACCAGATTTGGCACACATAACTCTCATGACCAACAGAAATACTGGAAGGGTTTGGTGGGCATTGACCTTGAGTTTGGGAGCTGTAGTTCACCTACATCCAGAGAGCACTGTGAACATAAACAATGATGTATCTGGACCAAACTTGGCACAAATACTCAATATGCCCAAATGTGAACTGGTGGAGTTTGGGGAAAATAGACCTTGACATTTGGGAGTTGTAGTTGCTGGGATTTATAGTTCACCTACAATTAAAACGCCTTCTGAACCGTACCAATGATAGAATTGGGCCAAACTTCCCACACAGAACTCCCATGATCAACAGAAAATGCTGAGTTTTCTGATTGTCTTTGGTGACCCCTCTGTCACCCCTTTGCGACCCCTCCAGGGGTCCCGACCCCCAGGTTGAGAAACACTGTAATTGATTATATCCAGGGAATTGCTGCGTCTGCACTGATTAATGAATGAAGCTCGACCCCCCTTTGGCTGCCCTGGCCCAATGCGATGGGGTGATGGGAGTTGGAGTTAGCCACGGTCTTGAGCCTCCTCTGCCCAAGCAGGTGGCTGCCATAACAGTAAATAAAGAACAACATGCAAAAACAGGGCAACTCCAGGCAAGAAACAATCCGGGACAGCTAATCACCTCTCAACAAAGGATTCCCCCAGGCAGTAAGAAGCCACACTTTGAAAACTGCTAGGCCATTCAATGCCAATCAAGGTGGCCAAACGCAACGTTCACACCTGCCTCCAACAAAAAGTTCTTTCTCCCTCCCACCATGGACATCATTCCACAGACACAGAAACCCCACTTGCCTAGTTTCCAACAGACCTCACAACCCCTGCCATAGATGCAGGTGAAATGTCAGGAGAGAATGCTTCAGGAGCATGGCCAGGCAGCCTGGAAAGCTCATCGCGACCCAGGTTGCTGCCCCTCCACACTACAAATCCCAGTAGACCTTAGCATCGGGCCCGGGCAGTTGAAGTGAGGCCAAGAATAGAATGGAAGAGCTTGGTGGCCAATGCGCTATTGCACAGCAAAATTGCATGCCTCCCCCATCACACACCACAAAACCACACACCACCCCTCCATAGGCCCCCCACCACCACCACCACACATCCCGCATGCCACATCAATACAAAGCACCCCCCCACCCCCTTAGAGGCCCCCCTTTTCAGCCTGGCTCCCCTCCCTCCTGGGCTCACTTGTGGAGATGCAAAGAGAGGAGGAGAGAAGAGCCTGGCCTTGACCAAGAAGCAGGGTCAAAGTGCAAGCCATGACCTTTCTTTGCCCTTCACCCCCCCCCCACCCCCGTTTCACAGGAATGCCGACGGCTACCTGGACGCAGAGGAGCTGATTGAGATCTTCCGGGCTTCTGGGGAGACGGTCAGCGAGTCCGAGATTGAGGAGCTCATGAAGGACGGGGACAAAAACAACGACGGGCGGATTGACTTTGATGGTGAGCCGGCCTTGCGCCCATTCCCTGCGTCCGGGCAGGAAAGAGTGACCCGTGGACCGCCTCCAGCGCCCTTGCATTCCCCCTGGACGCTGGACACAGCTGGTCAAAGGGCCCTCCTCCCCTTGGCCATTCCTTCCAAGGTCCCAGGGGGGTCCCCATTGGCTTGCCCCTCAAGCAGGGGACCGGGGCCCCTCGGAGGCCCCCCCCAGGGCAGCAGGGCCACACAGCCCCGACCAGTGGCCGTCCAGCGGGAATCTCTTGTCGAAGGCTTTCATGGCCGGAATCACTGGGTTGTTTGTAGGGTTGTTGGGTTTTCCGGGCTATATGGCCATGTTCTAGAGGCATTTTCTCCTGACGTTTCGCCTGCATCTATGGCAAGCATCCTCTGCTTTGGCCCTGATGCCTCTCGTTCTCCTCCTTCTTCTCCTTCCCGCAGAGTTCCTGAAGATGATGGAGGGTGTCCAGTAAAGCCCTTCGGAGACATTCCTGCAGAGGGGCTGCCCCTTGCCCCGCTCCCGCCGGCCCCGCCTGCCCCACCAGCAAGAAGGAGAGCCCTCCTTTTCGGCCCAGCGCTCGGGATTTTGCCACAGACACCCACCTTCCTTCCTTCCTTCCTTCCTTCCTTCCTTCCTTCCTTCCTTCCTTCCTTCCTTCCCTAGAATTCTGTTTCTAAGGTTGACATCTCAATAAAGAGCAAAGGACTGGAAAACTATGAGTTGCAGATGGGAAATGGGGTTGGGGGGCCTGAGTTGGAATGGCCGTGATCTAGAGCTGGAATTTAGGGGTCTTTGCCAGGAGGCAGAGACCAATTAGACTCATCAAAGAGTTCTTTTTCCCTGGCGAGACGGAGAAGCACCCAATATTTTTCCCTGATCTTCCCAATGAAAGGTCTCACCAAGTTGAAGAAAAGCCATGGAGGTTTATTAGCGATTGAGCTGAAAAGGATGCAGAGCTGCAATCATTCGCGAGCAGAGCATGAGGGGAGTACACCAATACAGTCATATTTATAGTAAATTCAAACTTGCAGAGTTCAAACTTCCCGCCCCGGCTTCCCTGACGTTCCCTGCCGTGATTGGGCAATGGGCAAACAGCTGGGAGGCGGCCCTCCCGCCCCTGGTGCCTCTGGACCAATCAGGAAGCTCCAGTGGTCTGTAGGATCCAATGGGGAGACCTCTGCCACCTGGCGGTGACAGCAAATCAGGAGAGAGGGAAGCGGGACGATAGAACACAAAGGAATCTGTGAATGAGTCTTAACAAAGGAAATGCCATGTGGCCTGCGAGAAAAAAGCTCAAGCAGGGCTGACCTATTGTGTTTTGAGTGTTGTGAATCAACATATGTAAATATATTCAGATCCTTCCTGGCTGTGAGACAGGAGAACAATGAGGGCAGCCTGGGGTTAATGCTATCAATGGGAAGTAAACAAAAAGCAGAGGGGAAGATTTCCCCTTATCTTACTTGAGGAGTGACAGAAGCTTTGCCAAACAATTCTTTACTCTAGTGGGCCATCTCCGATGCTAGAGATAAGAATCCTTTCCTATTATCCATGCAAGAATGTCTTTGGCTGGGGGGTTTCTGTAATCGCTAATGGTTGAAGGCCAGGTGATCCCCTTACATATTTCTTTGGAGGGAGAAAGGGGCAAAGGGTCAGGCTAGGGTCAGGAATACAAGGAAACATAAAAATCATATAGAAATTATACACAGGGAAATCATATGCAGGTATCTTTCCATCCAGGTCCCCAGAGAGAGATTAATAATACCAATTATAAAAAGCAGACGATATCAGGACACAGCATGAATTCATAAGTTGTCTTGAAGAAAGTTCATGGGTAGAGAGCGAGTCCTTGAAGAGAGTGAAGTCCAGGAACGTAGCAGAAATCAAAAAGCCACCAAAGGGAGTCTATGGAGTTCCACTGGGCCAAGGCACAAAGCCCTGCAGCGCTGGGATGGAAGCCGGTCCCATGGTCCTTGGAAAACTGTAACTCTTTCCATGGGCTGGAGCCCAGGGACCAATCTACTCCCTGAAAGCCTCCTGGGGTCCTTGCTGTTGTTAGTGTCTTTGCATATTGACCAAGACTCAACCCCTATTGTGCAGTCCGGTGCCCTTGCCCTTTGCAGAACTATAAGTTACTATCTCTTATTGGGGGGGGGCATTCTCGACTTCAGCCGGAGGGAAATAGGGCGACCCTATGGATTTCACAGAATCACAGATTCCTACAGTTGGAAGGGGCCCCCAAAGGTCATCCAGTCCAGCCTCCTGCTGTGCAAAAAAGGCACAGTCAAAGCCACCCCCCTCAACAGATGACCATCCAGCCTCTTCATAAAGGCCTCCAAGGAAGGGCCCTCTCCCAGACTTCGAGGAGGCAGAGAGTTCCACTGCTGAACAGCTCTTAAGTGGGTTTTACTAGTCAAGGTGGTTTCAATAGGGAAAACTACCCTAAAATAAAGATGAGGATCCAAAAGTCGAATAGGATGCAGAATTTGAGCATTCCGCTCATGAGCGAGCGAGCAAAGTGAGAAGTGTCGTGTGAGGGGGCTGCAAAGGACCTCAGAGCATAGGCCGGCAAAGGTGCAGAGTCCCATGGTTAAAAAACCACAAGAGGTCTATTTACAATCATAAGAAATAACTGCATTTCTAAATTGGAGTGTGAGCTACTCCAGCGTCCATCTTTTCTAAGGTTTCAAGAGAGGGGGAAACTCAATCGCGACGTGTCTCTTGACACACAAGCAGAGAGAGATCTCAAAGCACACAGCACACACTCTCCGTACTCAAGTGCAAGAAGGGAGAAGCCAGATTCAGAATGAGAGCTGTGGAATTGTGGGAGCTGGAGTCCGAAACACCATTTGCCCATGCCTGCACTAAGGTATTTCTAAGGTACCTTACCGCCCTTCTTAGTGGTTTGCCCCAAGAATCACAATATAAGATATCCCAAGCGTGCTGCTTTCCAGGCTAAGGTTATTCCATGAAGCTTTCAGGCTAATAAGCTATGTTGAACTGACGCTTTCCCTTAGTTTGCAAGAAGACTAAATACCTTTCTAACATGAAAACATTATGCTGTCACCAACATGAAAGCATTGTGATGACCTTGGCCCGAGCTGGATTCTCGTCTGCCGGCAACACAAACAGGAGGGACAGGTAAAATCTAATCCTTTTCCTGGGCTGCTCTTGGTGGGTCGGGATGCCTCTTAATGTCGCTTTTCCTTGCTCTCCAGCCACATGAAGGCTCCTGCCTTGGATGGCTGCGCTTGCCTCCGGGACTGCCGTGGTTCCATGCTGGGGAACGCTGGGAGTTGTAGTTTTGCAAGGTCTTCTGCCTCCTCAGGCTGCAGCTCTTTTGAGTTCCAGAGCATGGAGACATGACTGTTGTAAGCTAGACTGCATCAACTCTGCCGTGTAGATGCACCCAAGGTGGGTTGCAGCTCAACCAGTATTCAATCGGCCATAGGTCAAGTGACCCTTGTCCCCAAAGGGTGGCCACAGATGCATCCGCACTGCAGGGTTACTTCAGTTTCACTTGAACTGCCAGGACTGAATGCTATGGAATCCAGGGAGTTGTACTTTCACCAGGAAGGCATGTCGCCTTCTTGGCAGGATCCAATGGGAGGATGCAGTCCTTTGCCTCGGTCATCGTCCAGCCATTCCACCAAGGAGTGGTGTGCAAAACCATCGAAACCTTGTGTTGGGCCGCACTGGGGAGACCGGGCCGCTGAGAGGGAGGGAGGGAGGTGGCGCTCACCTTTATCCCAGAGGTGCGTCAGGTGCCTTCGGGGCAGAAAGACAGAAGCCGCCTCCTCTCCCTCCTTGAGTTTTGCTTCCGGGAGACTCAGCAGAAGCCGTCCTCGATTTCCCGGCTGCAGGAATTGTGCAAATGAATCCGTCAGTCCAGCCCAAGGCATTCAA